GCCATCCATATAATCAAATCAACATGGCCTTACACTGTATACTAATAAAAATGCACTGTATTCCGTAAAATTGCCCTGTATTCTGCAAAATTGCACTGTATACTCTGGCACTCCTGAATGTTAAAACATCCAATAGGCTTACATGGGTAGATGGTTCGTGAATACTCTGTACTTTTGGGGGTGGCGATGGTAGGACAGACTTTATATCTTCAAATGGGTTTGTGAAATCAGAACTTTTTCCATCTTGGGGAGTTTCGCACCCTCTTCAGATAGTGGAATGATCGTCAGCTGACTATTTTACGCCAAAAGGACTAATCCAAGTGTTCCGGTAGGGGGTGTTTTTCTGAGAAATAGTTTGCGTAGCCGTATTATTTGCTGGTAAAGTATTCAGGGCCTGAAGTTGAAATATTTGGGTCAGTAGAGCTCCCCCTATTTTCTCACTCTCTCTCTCTCTCCTCCCTCCCTCTTCTACTCTCTCTTTCTTTCACACACGTACACACACACACACACACACACACACACACACACACACACACATACAGAGGAATACGAAGAAAAACACAGGGGGGACTACAGGGGTTTCTAGGATTCGTATGAAGCCCTGAATGCAGTGTGCGGTCCCTCGCGTCACGTCCAGAATCCACTAGGTTCTGCTGGTGGTCAGACGCTCCTTCTGACAAATCACCAATACTGACTCGCTGGGCTCAATACTACCAGGCGCTCTTCAGCTCCAGTCGAGATGACTTTTGAGTAAAATGAAATGAAAAATGTACATTTGCTTTTTTGTTGCTATTTATACTCAAGAAGATGTGGATGGATCTGAATGGTATTTGGTAGGTAAGTAGCAGTTGTGGAAACGAAGGTCAAGTTCGAAAATGTATATATCATGAGTAAGGGTTAACATTTGGTCGTTAACGAGGACACATCACGTGCCTTCCCCCGTCCACGGGGACCTGAGCGCCGGTTATGAAGGAGGCGTCAGAAGAGGCCAGAAAGGCGATGGTCTTCGCAACTTCGGAAACCTCTCCTACCCTCCCCAGGGCGTGTGCAGTCTTAGAATGTTCCAGAAACTAATGAAGGAAAAAAGCGATGCGTCTTTGCCATCAAAACATATGCAAAATGTATGTTTTATCAAATCTGCATAATGTAACATCATGACGATACAAAAAGTGATTTTTGTCATCCCTTTCAAAAGTAAGTTGAATCAACCCAACTCAGTCGCAAATTACTATTTGGAATTGTAGTTGCCAACTGAAACAATCAAGCTTTACGAGTGTGTTTAAAAATTTTAAACGTATAGCTGTCAGCCATGTTTGTTTATATTCTAGTAGTTTGTGGTGGCACCAGAAACTGGGTTCCCCTGGTGTGGGCTGTTCTAAATGCCAGAAATATGAGATAATTGCACAAATATGTTGACAAGTGGACATTTTTTTAAAAATAAAATACTAGTATTTCATTTTTGGTGCAAAGATGTTACACAGTGCCCCTTTAATTAAATATTTACTTATTCACCATTTAATAAACGCCATTCTGGGCTATTTCTATACATGTACCTCGGCAGTTTCCTCTTCAGTCCATCCTGCGTGTTTGTAAATGCCTGTTGGGACCGTACCAGGGCTGTAGGTCGACAGAAATGATAGAATATCAGTCACAGGTAGCCAAAAGGTACGAAGATCTAGACAAGAAAACATTTACTCGGACCACTACTTTTTCCCAGTCACTAGAAACGTCTGACAAAACTTCAATAGCTAAGGTCTATAAAATGTACACAAGAGGTTAGGTCACGGTTGGTTGGTTGGTGATTGGTTGGTGCTCGGGAGTAGATTGGCGCGTGGTTGGCAGTCAAATCACATTTAACTCAAATTCGATCCGAATCACATAGAAAAGTAGGCTCGGCCTAAACCTGGTCAGACTGCCCCAGAACGTCAGCCAACCTTGGTCGGCTGGTGTTCGGGGTAATACAAACTTTAGGAAGCTATTTCGTTTTCTAGCCTTTACGCTGTCTTGTGTATTTTAACCTCAACATAGTATGGAGACGATTATTTTATGATTTAAAAGAGCGAGTATGTCATGGGAGCCCAAGTAAACTAAAGAGGAAGGACAACACCCAGGGCACAACATTTTACTTAGAGGATCACCCATTTTACACTCAGATACTAACTGTAACATTTTGGCAATCACACAACTTACGTTATTGATACTAAACGGTTTGTATTAGATTAACGCCTACAAAACATGTTCTTCCTTACCATTCATTATTATTCATTACCGGTTATACCATAATCACCGTGTTGCCATTTCCATCCATTTGCTGCTCCCTGTTGTTTTTGTCATGTATTTTGTCGCTGTATACCTGTATGTCTGGTGGTGAGGTTAAAATTAGCTACACCTAGAGTGCCTCACCACCATGTCCTGTATTATACGTACGTGTCGAATTGCAAATTTAAAAAAAAAACACCCAGAGTACTCCTATATAAGTTGTGGTTCCAACAAAAGGCTTACTTCAACATAGTTAAACAAAATATTTACATATTGAAGAAACAACAAACTTACTTGACAGAGTTGACCCTGATTTGCTTTAAAGCTAGTTCTGAAAAAAATTAAGATTTGGTCTTTAGGGACAGTGAAATCTAGGGAAATATGTCATCATCTTTTTACAATATATTAATTTTATCTGACTCTTACCTCTAAAACATCCAGCAATGTTCCTAGCTCAAACAAAAGAATAATAACACAGACTATATTGCAACTATATTTGAGTTATATTTGCCCTAAGAAACAGATATCAAAGGAACAACGTAATCAGAATGGAGAAAGATGTTTTAGTGTTGCTACAGCTTTGTTAAAGAAAGCCGTAAGCAAATTCCACAATTAGCATATCATTTTATGTGGTATTTATTTAGGCCACACTAATTTAATTTCTTGGTTAACGGACTTTTCTACAAAAATAATGGAGCGGGCGGGCGAAAAAAAATAAAAAATAAAAACAGGCCTTGGCATCCTATTATGGCCCAAAATAGTACGATAGGAGCTATGAAGTCAACACACCAGGCTGGTTCAAAATTTAAACAATGAATTTTGAACATTAATGATACCATTGTATGAAAGATGGAATAACTGTAACAACTTGGAGGAAATGGACTGTTTTCAACTGTTCGGGGCAAAATATGAGCATTTTGCTGTTGATTCTGAATTTTTATTTTTATTTGCAAATCAGAAAAAAATGAAGCGTTAACCAAGAAATTAAATTGGTGTGGCCTTATTTATGAGATTTGTTGAACTACTTTGGTCTTGGTTTACTCTCTAAACCACAAATCCATTTTCGGCAAGCATATATATTGTAAACCCCTATTACATAACTTGTTTGATCTTCCAAAAGTGCAACCAAATAGTCTGAAAAAACACAGCGAACCCAGTGCAACACATCTTGTGAACTGGTCCAGCGCTGCCTTGCTCATGGTGTAGGCAAGACTTCCAGTAAACTAAGGGAATAAATCGATTCACAGTTTGAGATATGTGCGCAACATGTAAATAAAACTCAGCTCTGGCTATTATTCTTAGTTCAGATAAGGCCACACCGACTTAATTTTATGCATAACATAACATCCTCTGAAGACCCCCAAATTAGTGCGCGCGGGTGAATAAAAATAATTCCGGCCAAAAATGAAAATGCTACTAAACTACAGGAATACAAAACTGGTATTGTGAATTTGCGTCAGTACTTAGCGACGTATACGTTTGCGGCATTCATGAGTCGGTACTGTACTGAGTTCTTCAGTCGTGGCGCTTCTGCAGTCGTGTTGTCGCTTACCACAATGGACTACTGAAGCCTTGAGCCAGGCCAGTCCCTCGCACCATTTTTTTATGAGAACAGGCGAAAATCAATGCGCACGCGGTAAGAAAATTAATACAACCTCTTACTAAAAAAAAATGAGTTAACATCTCTCTTTCTCATTTTTTTTTTTTTACTTTTTTACTGAGTTCTTGAGTCGTGGAGCTTCTGCAGTCGTGGAGCTCCGGGCTCCGTATTGTCGCTTACCACAATGGGCTANTATATATCTATATATCTATATATCTATATATCTTATATATTTATATATTTATATATTTATATATTTATATATTTATATATTTATATATTTATATATTTATATATTTATATCTTTCTTTCTTTATATAGCAAGTGGCCCGCGTACTTTTTCAAAAGAGTAATGTCTCATGAGTATTTGTACCAAGTTTGGTGCTTGTATCACAATTTGAAAGATTCCTCCAAAATTTGATGTTATCTGCTCCACTAACATTCCTGGGAAACCCTTGGGAAGACCCAGAAGACCTGTCTGCCATGGGTGGCCCTACTTTCTGTGACCCCGGGTCTCGTTCACTATACACTCGGGGGAGGAGTGCACTGTAAAATCATAAAACGATGGCAGTGCCATGCAAACAATAACCCTAACATAAACCACCGTTGCCATGGCAATGTATGTTTTCATTGCCAGTCTTGTTAACCCTAAACAGTACACCTGGGGTCCGCGCGGACCCCTTCTTCTTCCATATTACGTGCTTAACCTCAATAGGCTGAGGACTCCAAGCACGGTACGTAGAAGACGTACACAAGACTGTAATGTTTGAACCACTCACACCGGGAAGATCCCCTACTCTTTTCGATAAGTGTGGCGGGTTCTTTAGCATGCTCGAGGTGTGGCTCTCCCCAAACACGGGACCTCCATTTAACGTCCTATCCGAGGGACGTCCCTAACCGAAGCTAGGTACTCATTTACACCAGAGTGAAGTGAGGAAGTCGTGTAAAGTGCCTTTCCCAAGGGCACAAGATCGGTGACATGGGTGGGGGATCGAACTCGGGACCTCTAGGTCCTGAGCCGAACGCGCTACCGCTGCGCCACACGACCCCCAGCACTATATATTCTGTAATATCTTTTTTGTAATATTTTTTTCTGAAATTTTAGGTAATTGTCACCCACAAAGTTGTCTCTCAATACAGTGCAGAAAACTCCATTTCTACCATTTATAAAAAAAATTATATCTGATTTTCTTTTGGGGTCCGCGCGGACCCCAGCCGGCTTTCGATCATAATGGATACACTGGCGTTCTTATACATTACCTTATTTCCGTTTTTATATGTTTCTATGCACTCATCGTATGTCTACCAAGTTTTCAGAGAATGGTGTAGTAATAGAATTAAATTTTAATAACTTTGGTGTAATTAAGACGTCAGATGACGTCAGAGCTAATAATATAGTCCGCCATATTGGATTTTGACCAATGACGTCATCAAATTAGCATATTCTATGCATATTAAATGATTTAACTTATATTTAATTATGTAAGATGTTATTAATGTTGGAAAAGAAGTGTAATTTAATATAAAATTCAGAAAATTTTCATGTTTAAACCAAAATTACTTCTAATTTCAAAAGAACTGCCTGCTAGAAACCCGTTGCTATGGCAACACAAAAAACATCAACTTACTAGTATTAAACTAATATGAACTTTTTTCCAGAGACATTTTAGGATAGGTCTCCAAATTTGATACTTCTAGCGCAAGCCGTTTAGCCGCTATCTGAGTTCAAAGTTGGGCCTCAAAAGCCCCTTCAGTCTGAAATGGGTTTAAAAATCGGGTATTTCTTCTTGTCTTCTTTTCTTCACCAAAAAATAGAAAAAGTTCAAAATGTATGATTTTTGTATGTAATGTGGACACAGAGGTTCCCACATCAGTTTGCAAAACAATTAAGCTAGTAGCATGTTGATAATTTCTAAAAATTAGCAAAAAACTGTTCTGGGTCCGCGCGGACCCAGTTGTACAGATTAATCAGTCCGGGTAA